TTCTTCTAGTCACAATCTTTTTGTCCATCCAAGCTCCGGTATGCTTGGGCAGCGACTATGAGAAATTTGCAGGATGCAACAAAACTTTTCATTGTGGGATCATCGAAAATATCAGTTATCCTTTCCGGCAACGAGGTAGCCCAGAGTATTGTGGTCAGCCTGGATTTGAGTTAATTTGCGAGGATGGTAAACCCATGATTACAATCATGTCGCAAAGTTACCAAATACTTGAGTTCAATATGTCTCTTCGAGCTCTCACTGTTGCTCGAACTGATTATTTGTATAGTCTTTGTCCGAAGCACCTTGTCAACACCTCTTTGGGTCCTGGCCCTTTCCACTCTGCTTGGAATAACAAGCAAATAATACTTTATTATGGTTGTCGTTCCTCCATGGCAAATCAGTCTACGGAGCTTTCTGATCGTCAGTTTCATTGTACCATGAATGGAACTGATGTGGTAGGCTACTTTGCGATCCCGTCTGCCCTAGGCAACCTTTCAGCTACAGTGAATGATGCCTTGGCATCATGTCGTAGCAGTGTTATTGTTCCAGCATTTGCTTCGGTGGTTCAGTACTTGGAGTACAATTCAAATTCAACAAATCTGAACGTTGCCCTTGCTAATGGCTTTGGACTAGAGTGGAGGATTGCAAATGATTCCCCAGGTACCAAATCAACTATCTTGATTACTATGTATAGCAGTAAGTGTTTGGGGTCTTCTGGTTTTTGTTGTTTTAGGCGTGATGTTGGTAGCAGACCCATCCTGGGTTTCTGCTTTATGATCATTTGTTTGATCATTGCTTGGCTATGCCGAGGCCTTGTATCATCTTACATGATACTTTATGAATATGAGAGTATTTTGATTGAGAAAAAAAAATCAACTATCTTGATTATTTGTTTGCTAGTATTCTGCTTTACGGACTCCTTTAAAGCACATATTGTTTTGCTTAATTTCAGAAGAAGGGGATTCGAATATAACTTTTTGAGTAGGGGATATAGGACCTTTGATTTAAATACTCAAGTGAAACACTTGAAATACAGTAACTAATGACTTGAGAAAAAAAACTCTTTCAATTTGGAACCTCAAAGACAACATGTCGATTATTAGTGTTTAAATTGAGTCAAGGTTAAAGACAATCATTTTACCGTATAAGCAGGCCTTTGCTTAGCTTAACGATTGTTCCATGGAACATTGCTGTTTTGCCTTACCTTTATTTTCTTTGCTTTTCTCCCTTTTCTTTTTTGATTACAGGGTCATCAGATGGCATTAATTTAAAGCTTAAATTAATCATAGGTACTACACTAGACTCCTTTGATAAAGATTTGTGTTTTATATCCATTTGGAAGAGTGAATAGCAACTAATATTTCTAATTAAGTTGACTCACCATTCTCTGAAATAGGTTTGGCAGTGGCTGCAGCTACTATTATTGTAGCTAGTGTTGTGGTGGTTACCTTCAGGCTTAAGAAAGTATCGTTGTCAAGGGGAATGTTCATGAACTTCAATCAAGGAAAAAGGAATGACAGGGAAAGGATTGAGGCATTCATTTTGCAGTATGGTTCTGATCTTACTCCAAAACGATATTCTTATGCAGACATCATGAAAATAACCAAGTCATTCAAAGACGAACTGGGTCAAGGGGGATTTGGTGCAGTATATAAAGGTAAATTACCCGATGGCCGTCTTGTTGCAGTGAAAGTCCTAAGGGAATCCAAGGGGGATGGAGAGGAATTCATTAATGAAGTGGCTAGCATTAGTAGAACTTCCCATGTCAATATAGTGCCGTTTCTGGGTTTTTGTTATGAGGGCTCAATGAGAGCTCTAATCTATGAATTCATGCCCAATGGGTCTTTAGATAAGTTCATTTGCCATCAAGGATTGCCACGCGAAATCCATCACCTAGAGCTGAAAACATTGTATGACATTGCAATTGGCATTGCTAGAGGGCTGGAATACTTACATGGAGGTTGCAACACAAGGATTTTACACTTTGACATAAAACCTCACAACATTCTTCTGGATGAAAACTTTTGTCCAAAAATTTCTGATTTTGGTCTTGCTAAATTATGTGAGCTGAAGCAGAGTATGCTTTCCATGATCAGTACTAGAGGAACCATCGGATATATTGCTCCGGAGTTTTTATGCCGAAGCTTTGGAAGGGTTTCCCACAAGTCTGATGTTTATAGCTATGGGATGATGATCCTTGAAATGTTTGGGGAAAAGAAAAATGCTCATATCGAAGGGTCTCAGGCTAGTGAAATGAACTTTCCTTCACAGATTTACGAGCACCTTGAACAGGGAGCTGATTTGAATCGTAAAGGGATCACAGTAGAAGATGAAGAAATAACAAGAAAGATGATTATAGTGAGCTTGTGGTGCGTTCAAACTAATCCATCTGATCGACCATCAATGACTAAGGTCCTAGAGATGTTACAAGGAAGCATTCAATCCTTAGAAACGCCACCAAGACCTTTCCTGTATTCTCCTGAAAGATCTCCCGAGAACTTATCCACAACAACTTTATTTTCACAAACTTTTGTCATGGACAACAGTGAATCAGAGTTCTTCTAGTGTAAGAAATAAATGACTTCATCGCAGCTATTGAACTTGTCAAACCATAGTCAGTCGTAAGTTCATGGTTATATATCTGGTTCAGTCTCCAATCGGCTACTCCGCTCATGATGCTGAATACTCAGTAGTCCTATTCGAAAATATTAGATAACCTCCTTAGATTAACTTGGACATTTCAAGAATTAACTCATCTCAAAATTCCAAGATTAACAAGATATCATTGTCAACAAAAACAGAACAACTTGGCATACATATCAACACTGTTCAGGAAACCATCACTCACATAGGAGCACATTCGTGTGTATATATTTATATATATTGATAAGCCAATAAATTTTATTCATATTATCTTACGAGATGAGCAAACTTTCTCCCTTCTAGATGAGGAGAGATTTTCTTCTCATTATTGCCTTCAATATGTTGTAACACCACACTACTACCCTTGTTACAAACCAAACCCGTCTGCCATAAAACACTCACCTCCCTAACCAAAACAAGAACCCTACCAGCACCTGTACAGAAGACATTGACCTACACCGCCAATCCAAATCTACCCATAGTATAAGCCTTACACCTATTTACACCTTATATCCCTCCACAGAAAGAGATAGTCACAAATCAACATGGCATGAAGCACCTCCAACTGTGATGAAACCGTTGAAGCCAATCGTCTGCTCCGAGGATAGATTTAGAAATTTTCTAAATAGTGTTATAACCGAAATAATAATAATAATTACAATTTTTTTTTCAAGATAAAATTTAGTGAAAGAGTGTTTAAATCAAATTCAACATGACTTCATTCAGAAGATTGTTGACAGTAGAATTACCTTGGTCTTACCCAAGACCTAAGTAGATAATTTCTTATATTTTAAAATATCTTTTCATGAACTATATATCCAAAACCTATTCAAATAACTACTAATTACTCATTAGTATTAACTAAAATATTAGAATTAAATAAAATATGATCTTGTATAGTAAATTATCAAGTTCAACAATTAAGAATTTAACAAATTTCTATTCATTTATAAAAACTAAATATAAGTATCCACAAACCACATAAAGTTTAATACAAAAATTAAATAATCAAACAATATATCCACAAAATAAATTTAAAAAAAAACTCATAACTTCAAGATATTATTTGACATGTAATATTATTTTCTATTAGTTAGATTATAATTATGAACTCAAACTATCGAATTAATATAAAAATATTTAGACATGATGTATTTGAAATTTTAATTTTGATTAAAAATTATTTACGATTGAAACTTAAATTAGTTATTTTGAAAGAGTGAAAAACGTATACAGCTAATGATTGAGAAAAGTATGTCTTGAATTTTTGAATAAGGAAAGTACATTAAGTTTTGATTTTTTTTAATAAAATCTTAAATTATAAAATTTTTTTTTATCTTTTTATATAGTATTTAAATATTAATATATAAATGAATTTTTGATAAATTTACTTTAACTGGGAGCTTTTTGATCCTACTCTTTATAAATTTTTTATTTAAAAGCTTTAACCCCACACCTTATAAAATAAAAAAAAAATTAATGAATTCGATAATATATTGACTATATAAAACTTTAAATTAATAGTGTAACAAGTAAATTCTCTATAAGGTAGGTCCACGCTTGGTCTGCTCCAATTTTGTCTCGAATCATATTCATGCAACACATAAGATCGATCCCATCACCCCTCCCTTTGCAAGGCGGTCCACACACCCATTGTACTCATCCAAAGCAATCTTAAATCAATTAATTCCACTAAATTAAAGTTTCTCTCCCCTTTTGGTCTTTGGATAGGGTACTCTCAGTAAACAATGTCATGCCAACTTTGAATGCACCACAGTGCCTTCCTGCTTTAACTACAATACAACTTCTTGCATTAAATGCATCTCAATCCTCTATTTAGTAAATGGCCGTCTTGTTACGAAACTCTTTATCTTCTTAACATCCTCTAATTCAACTATTTCGACCCTCATTGCATTTTTAAACCCCCCTGTCAATTCTCATCATAAATTACTAAAACACACACCTCCACTAATATCCTTTTATTATTATCATTAAACCACAAATTATCAAAGCACACCTGTCCGTAAATACCCCTTTATTATTCCCATTAAACCCTGACACCTATTGAGTCAAACTAATCATAGCATTTAATTCCATGAATAATTCATATCAAACCATGCCATGCAAAATCACTCATTAATATCCCAAATTTTAACCACGCAATCCGACGCACCTCTAATTCAGAAAATCTACACTTATCCATTGACATCTCTTTAAAATTTTAAAATGACCCTTACGCTTGTGAATCACCTCAAAACCCAAACAAATTCAACCTTCATTGCACTTACCACCAAGCCTCACAGCTCCTAAATCATGTTTTCATTCCCATTCATTGTGCCGGACACTAACAACGGGCTCCCATCAAGCAATCCTGGTTTACAGTTCCAAAATGTCTTTACAGCTCATCTTGAAAACCATAAAAGAAATTAATGTAGATAACAACTAAGAACCTCTTGAGCAAGGAAATGGAACTCACAATAATCCCAGAATAGTTAAAACCACACATGATTATATAAAACCCAATACCACAGACAAAATAAAACCAAACAAAATTGACTGCAAATGAAAAAAAAAAAATTAATCTACAACAATTTTTAACCAAAATACTTAGAAGTTAAAGCATTGCCTAAATTAACATCCCTTCAGGTTGGTAATTTTCATAAAAAAGTACAAGATAAAACTGAAGACTTTTTCTGCTTTTCTCCTACTTTTTTTCTTTTCTTTTTGAGCTTAAAGACTAAACATTTTGAGGAGTGTACAACTCTCAACCTTTTAACGAAAATAAATAATTTTAACGAAAATAAATAAGGTAAAATACCTCTAGTTTTTTAAATTTTGATCAAAATTATTTTAAAAATTCATTAATTTTCAAAATGAACACTCTGTTCCAAACATCTAAATGACATTAATATTAAAATGTCTAAAATGCTTTTTATCTTTTTTCTATTATTAGACTAAACAATTACAGTTGCACCAGATGATGACTCCTTAGTGACTTCAGGCCAGTAAGAAAAATTCAATTGGTTGGACGACCTTTTGAGAATAAGGTGTAACACCATTGAGAAGTACATGGCCTCTATTCAAGGCTTGACCAGTCCTGTCTTGAATTCGGATATTGTGCTGTATCATCACAGTAAGTTGTTGCCACATTTTTCCAGTGTAGCATCTTAAGCTTAAACTGTCTGAACCAATACTTGCAAGAAAGTAGCATGCAATATTGTCTGAATGTCCCATTGATGGGCTGTCAAAAGCTTGGCTAACTTGCCACATGTTCATAAGGTGATGCACACAGGGATCAAACCAGCTTGTACTTCAAGCACGTGCAACCATCTCATCTAGAAGTCTTTCTTCATTTTCCCTGTATGCATATTAAACTTGAATCAAGCCCTAAAGTTAGAATATTACATAATTCAAAACTTTCAATATGCAAGAGACCGGAGAGGCTGTTTACAGTAATACTCCATGATGATTGGCTAGAGAAGAAATTTCCACAGGATTTCACAATTCGTAGAACATCAGTTTGTCAGTAGCTTGTCACCTTTGCGGGGTACCAACTCTTCTATCCTTTAGCTCCACCTAAAGATTAAGCACATCAGTTTAAGAAGTAAACAAGAAAGATGGATAGGCTTTTCTTCTGTGGAGTTTACTATGAGGTATCACATGCTATTTTGAGAAGATGTAGGTGTATGAATAATGAGAAGAAAACACTTATTCTTACCAGTTTGAGTTTCAAATCCAGGACAGCCTGCCGTCGTTGATATGCAAAAAACTTCAATGACTGATAACCCAGAAAAAGGAAAGTCAGGCTTAAGTCTAGGAACACACAACGAACAGAGAAATAAAAATTTTCTATGAAAGGATAAGAGCAGTAAAGTCGTTTCAGAAAAAAAGAGCTTACTCCAATTCTCTGCAATTCAATAGACCGCCGTAATGCTTCCCTCTTAGTTAAAAGGTTGTTGGTCATTAGCTTCAAAGGGCGTTGATAATTTTTTCCTCGGTAGATGATTAGAGCATGACCTTCCTTTAGCTTCTCGACTGAAACCAAGATCCCACCACTCTCTGCTACAAGCAATTTTGCAGTGTAAATGACTCGTGCAAACACTCTCTGCATTGTAATTACCTTGACAACTTCTCTATGCTTCCAGTGTTGATGCACTCCTTCTATGACGCCATTAAAGACCCCACGCCTACCTGAACCATATTTAAACAAAAACAAAATCAAGAGAGAGAAATTTACACCGGACCAAGAATGATGAATTTAGAGGAAAAAAAATCAGCAAAAAAGCTATCTAAAATTTTAAAACCAATAGAATCAAAAGAGAAAGAAGAATCAATTGCAACTAGAAAGCAGTCTTTCCCTCACCAAGCACTAAGAAACTATTGAGCTTCAATCCTATCTTCCGCAAGCATTCTCTCTCCTCTTCAGTAATGATTTCCAGATCCACATCCTGCTCAGCTGGTTGCCATGAAGAATTCAACTTCACTAGCTCTTTAGCTGACTTCTCTATCTTTATGTTCAGCTGCAAAGTGAAATAAGATTGTGTCAGGAAAAAGCCTTCCAAATAATACAATATGATGTTAAGCATGAAAGAAACAAGTTTAAACAGGTGAAAATGGAATAGGAGTTTTAAGGATTGAGAAAGTGCTTGGCTGGCCCCATAAATTAGTCCACCATTGCACTGCAAGAAAGCAAGAATAAAAAGAGAGAGAGAGAGAGAGAGAGAGAGAAAGGGATCTTACAATTGACAGCTTGCGTTCTTGGTTTCTCAATTCCCTCTCTAAGTTTTCCTTTTGAGCTTCCAATTGAAGTTCAAGTTCACTACTTTCTTTTTTCAGGTCTCCATATCTGGTCTGGATATCCTCAAATTCTGATAAAGTTCCTACAGTGCTTGTCTTTGACAAAGGTTCATCGGCAACCTGAAAGGTTTCAGCCACTTTCACTCGAGCACCTTCTTCATTAAGTTGGCATCTTCTGAGCGCCATTTCTCTCTCCACAACCAAATTAGCAACTCCTTGAGGAAGGAAGTCTTTCCCCCTATAAAGTATTATTAGGAACTTATTGCGTACTAACAGAACTCCTCCTGTGAGATTCTGCATGGTCAGATATATTAGTCCTGGTAAATTTAGATATTTAGTTGTTCATAATCATAAATGACAAGCATAAATACGTATGCATGTGATGCAGGAAGGCATATACCAGATTTCAGGGTATGACAGCTACCCTTTTATCCTTGCAAAAGCCTTGGTTCAAATGAAGTCATAAAGTCATCTAGACGGGTTTTTTTGTGATCAAATTGTTATAGTAATGTCATCACAGCCACTGCACTTGATAATATCACAGATTCAATCATCAAGGATCACAAAATGTTATGCTCAAATCAAAAGATTTTCATGTCAGGCTAACTAAGAGCTTTATCATATTGTTTCACACATACAGGACACTTGTACAAGTGAGATGCAACTTAGTGATGGCATAAACAGAGCAAACTTCAGTGCACCATGATCGTATGTACCAAAAACTCAAAAGAATTACAGACCTACCTTGAGCTCGTACGCCATTTGCTCATTGTCAGTATTCTGAATTCCCCACTTTATAGCAATCTTTGCTATGAGACTTTTTTCCCACAATTTTAAAATAGCAGCAGCCAATCCTTGAAGGTTCCTATTCTTCCCTGCAGCAAGAAGAAGAAACCAGAATTAAGAACTCTGAAAAATGCAAACATGTGAAACACAAAGCCACAAAGCATAGTCTAGTGTATCTATTTTTATGAAAGATTCAAAACATCAAAATTGTTGATGAGTTAATTCTCATGTATAATACAGATTTACCCTCAAAATAATTTTCAGTAATTACAGAGGCAAATCTTTCTCCAGATAGACTAGATTGTTTTCCCTTTCCCTATTGTCTATGGTAGTTAATTAAATCGTAAGAATACTACATGCATATGCCATATGTCTATAGCATTGCACAAATGTACATGTAAATAAATATGTGAGCTCTAGCAATAAGTTTATAATAGACGTGGTAGTACCAAGAGCAAAATGAAAAGGTAAAGGATGAGCAAGCTTCCTCAAATACTTCAACTCGTCATCTGTCAATTTTGGTCTAGTGTTCGGTGGAGAAAGCCTTAATGGAGGCCTAAATCCAGGAACCACTTCTGGAAGCAAGTCTGCATCAATTGGTAATGGCTTTCTCATCCACCAGTCAATAAACCGGGGTCCTAAACCATTCAATAATCTATCTGTTTCCCTCTCATAAAATGATCCAATTACTGGTTGGTTATTTTCATCTTCTTTCATAAAGATGTTGATTGGCATTGACTCCTTTTCTCTGTCTTCTCTATACAAACTACTCTGAAGAGTACTTCTATTAAATTTTTCTTGAGACATATTAATATTACTGCTTGATGTAAGGTGACTGAACGTTGATGAAGATATTTCTTGACCATCAGCACATCTAGGATATTTCATTGAAGAAATTTTTGAAGTCAACCCATGACTACATCCTCTGTAAACGACAAGAGCATCTTTCTTGCTCCATACAACCAAGCCCCTGGTCTTCATCTGTTATAAAATGATTTAGCTATCAGAAACTTTCATAAAACTAAATCCAGGATGTGTTGATTTATCTATGTTTGAAACCCAACAAACTATGATCTTAAACTCAATATTTCAAACCAGTGATTATTATAATCATTAAAAATCACATGAAAATTAATATTGTTTGCAAATGAATTCTATAAAATCAAGAGAGAAAATGTTACTGTAAGATACCCTTTCATATAAGAATACTCTCCCTCTAGCACACACATTCTCCTACCAAGTATAGGGGCATTTTTTAAGGGAACAGAACAGTGTACTTAATTCTTAGCATGTTCTAAATATGAATTGAATCAAATTGAATTCTATAGTTTAATACATAAAGGGGAAAATATGATAATTCCTTCTGGCCAAAAGAAATAAATAAATGAGAATTCTTAACAAAATTCTAATCTGAAATCATTTGTGTAAATAAATTTATTCATAAATAAATTCTTTTCTAGAATTGGTTTGCAAATCAAAATGCATTCTGTTTTCATTTGGGTCCAAACAGAATGGAACAATCCCAAAATTATAAAAGATATGATCAACAACTAACACCCTCGAAACTTGTCACACAGAACCAAAAACTACCAATAAAACGAAGAAATCTCCAAAAGAAAACAAAATGCAAAAGAAAAATACCTCAATAATTTCTCTTGCTCTATCCATATTTCTACACAAAGGGACACCAAATTTTACCATTACAAGCTCATTTTTCCTCCAAGCCAACTTTATCTCATCAACAACTGCCTTAGTTACACCAAGTTTCATCACCTTAACCCATTTCCTCATCCTCATAGCCTTCCTTCTCAACCTCTCGAGCAAATCCTTATCAAGACTAATCTCAGCCTGAGTCAAAAGTTTTTCCTTTTTCATCCTCCTAAACACAACTTTCTCCTCTTCTCTCAACCAAGGCATTTTCCCATCAAATCTTTTCACTTCCCCATCACTTCCAAATTCCTCCAACCAATTCCCTACCTCAAATTCTTCACGAATCCGAATCTGGGTATCTTCCAAAACTTCATGTCCTTGTAGCATTTCCACGTTTCTAATGATCTTTTTCATCAATTTCTTCCCTCTGACTCCACTTTCTTTTCCAAACAATGCCTTGTCAGGTGCCTCGGCCTTGCTGTTTGAGCTCTTTTTGGTGGTGGCTTTTGAAGGGTTTAACACTTCATGGGGTTGGAGAAGGAGAGGACCCTTCATCCATGGAGCTGTTGGCATCTTAATGGGGCCATTATCGGGGTCCTTTGAGACTGAGAATTTTGAATTTTTGTTAAAAGAGCGATTTTCTTTGTGAGTTTTGGAGGGGTATTGGCTCGAGTTCAAGGAAGAGAGAAAGGAATGGGAGAAATGAAGACAGTGGCAAGCATGAGTGGTGAACTGGTGATAGAAAGCAAGCAGCGGAACATGGACAGTCGGGTACCTTGTTTCGTTGGTTCTGTTTTTATAGCTTTTGATTATTTGTGAGGGCAAAAAACAAAAATCATATGAGATATGATATATTTTCTATATTTGAACTCTAAGATTCATTTATTTATAAAAGTAGAATTATGAATAAATCCGGTCACATCATATATGTCATGCCCACATTTTATTAAGATATGTTTAAATTCAGCTTCACTCATTTATTTATATAATATTTTACTTTAATATATAAAAATTATTCTTATATTAATAATTTAATTTTTTAAAAAAATTAAAATTAAATAAATAAATAAATAAATATATTATTTGATATAAAATAATCATCTAGTGTTTTTCCGGTATTGGCTTAAAAATGCAAAGGTCTGGCCGTGTAGGCATAGCTCATCCAACCTCATCGCAATAGCTATAAGAACAAAACGATCATTCTATCTCTTAAGCCTTTTATTAAATTCCATTAGTAATATCCATATACATAGATGGAAAATATTTTTCTTTTCTATCTTCAAATAAATATACATATTTATTTTAGTAACTGTTTTATATTTAAATAGATAAATTTTCAATTGTAAAGGTTGTTATATTTACTTAACTCTATAAAATTATAGTACATTTTTTATTTATTAAAAATAATATTCCTAAAACAAAAAAAAAATTCAATTTATTTGATATCATTAAATTATTACTATTTTTATAAATGTTAATCTATATACATGTGTCTTTAGCAAATCGAAACAGTCTTGAAATATTTGCAAAATATCCATTAAGAATCACTTAGGCAATTTAGGCATGCAAAGGGAGGCACAAATTTTTCGAAATAAATCAACATTAAAATCACTTTTATCCTTGGATAGCCCATGTTTTCGTTCTCTTATCAAAATATAAATTTAAATAAGAGTACAATTTTTCTAAACTCCATAAACGGGTTTATAAACGGGTTTATATAATTGACGTATGTCCATTCAAGTAAATACTTGTGGCTTTCTTAAATTTTTCTTTTCTTAGTTAAATGTAGTAAGAGATGCAACATGGAGGAAAGATACATGTATAAAGCACAGTTTTGTTGGTTAACATATCTCCAATTAGGAGAAAAGTATTCCACTTAGACAGCGCCCAACAAATTGTGCAAAAATTTATTACCCTGACCATCTAGGCTGCAGGGGCTTAGGACTAGTAACACAGAGGGAGATCAAGGCTTCCCTAAACACTGAGCTAGCTTATGCAGTACCAACTTTCTAGACAAGGACGGTTTAAAACTATGACCAACACAATGTACACTCAAGGACCACAAATATTAGAAGCAATCAACATGCATACCTAACCCGAAAATCAAAAAGAAAAATTTTCAAGACACAAACCGGGAATTGTCAAGATGAGCACGAATACAACTACATCACCTTCTTGCCTTCATCGTCAACAGGGTCACGTAGGGTTCCAAGCATCCAATCCATCCATATGGTGTAATGACCATAATTATGGCGATATGTAGTGTGGTGAATGGTGTGGTAGCCAGCACCCATTACAGGCCACAGGTTGGCATGGATGCAATCATGAATGTTTGCTGTCCAGATGGCCTCAAGGAATAAGAGTCCAATATGAGATGTAAAATGGGTTGGCACAATAAAGAGTGCTATAACATGAGGTACCGCCTGCAGTATTCCATCCAGAGGATGAAAAGCCAAACCTGAATAAGACATTGTTTTCAGCCATAGTTCATTTCATGAGAGACAAAAATCCAAATAGAATTTTCAGCACGAGGGTATATCATGAAAATAATTTCTAATCTGTTAGCCAAAGTTTGCCTTCTAATTGTCAATACAAGAGAAAAATCTTCTATTTGGAACAATATTTAGTTTGCAACACTAAATAAATTCAGTTCAAATGAAAGAAACCGGCATGCCATCAATGCAGCTATCACCTCGTCACTTCAGTCCATCAAAATCAAATAAAAAATAAATGGAAAACAAGGAAAGATGCTGAAATGCATTCTTAGAAGAAAGCACCTAAATAGAAGTGGAGTGAAAGGACCAGGCTCCTATTTAGAGAAGGTAATTATAATTGTAAGATTTGTACTATTATTACTAACTCAGATCATATTTCAGTGAACAATGCATTGATTGGTCTATCTCATTGATGAGCATACAATCGTTTTCAACCTCAGAGTAAGATAGTTTCAGATGTAGATTAAAATTTATTCGATTGAGGGTTTCAGGAACAGCAAAAGAGCCCTAAAATTGTTTAGTACTTTTTCAATTTTTTTAAACTTTTCAAACTTTTGCATGCTAGCTTTTAAGGAAAGAAAGGCAGCACTTGGGGAAAAAATGGAAGGCCAATGGCCACTCAAGGGTACACCAAAAGAGCAGCTACACGGCCACTCAAAGGTACATCATAAGAGAACCTTCACTATAAGAAGGCCAAAGAATTGAATCAGGTCAGAAAAAGCTCCAGGAGATCACATGCATGATGTACTACTCTTTATATATATGCTAAAAATGCAACCAAGTATTATCTGCACCAAGACTACCTCACACGTTCGATAGAAAGCTATTAATTAGTACAGGGGTTAGTGTAACATCATCACTAGAAGCAGTTTATTGGACTACACAATATCGATAGGCAAACCTCATAATGAAGGTAGTTGACAGATTCAATTGCATTCCCTTTCAACACTAAGAGATGAAGTTGATGACAGATTTATATCTCAAAGATGTATGCAGTCGACACTGACATGGATTAATTATAAATTTGACATCAACAATATAGCAGCAAAAGAGACATTAAACTAAATCATCGAATTACAATATTTTACTATGCAACTATGATTCTGAGATCCACAGCTTCCACAGATTTTGGCACAGTATGCAATCCCAGAGGAACAAACAAGCACATGACACTTCACCTACACTAATTCATATATCTTTAAGCTTAAGACACTCAACCCAGTCAAAATTCTTGACTAATGGTTAAATATGCTTGGAAACCATCCCAAGCATGTAACCTGTTCTTCTATAAAAGAATAATGTTAATTCTGTTCAATCCCTTAGTCTAGTCAATCATTTAAGAAGCTGAAGACTCAAATATCTTAATGTGTGCAAGCTAGTGTACGCTTCACCTGCCCAAGCTGGTGCCAGGCAGCAGCATTAGTTTCAACATGAAAAATACAGTGCAAAGAAAATTAAGAATCTCATATGCAAGATGAGATTCACCTTGGTAAACTTTATCTCAAATTCAAGGCCTTTTTCGCATATAAAATCTAGAATCTAATATGGTCACATCATCAAAAAGTATGAGATCCCCAAAAAACTGACTGCCCAAAGCTGGTCAATTGTGGATCGTCTCTAACTTAAACTTGTTAAGTATTCTGTTATTTATGTATGTATCTATTAATCCATAGGTCCGTGATTTGATATAAAAAAAAACCACTAGCGTCCTGCTTTTTGTCAAAGCAGGATTATAAAAAAATCACTATGTAATGTCAAATCAGTCCTACGTTTACTCCAACATGCCTAAACTATTTTATGTTTAATCTGTTAAATGAGCAAGTATTTTGAAAGCTTTCACCAAGAAGAGCTTTTTCACCTTGAAAATCATTTCATATGAACGAGAGGACCCAAGCTGACCTAACATTTTTCTTTCAAGTTTGCAATAGAAACAAAAATATTAATGAGATCTGTAAGTTAAAATGCACACCATTCAGGTAGAGGATTGAAACCTTTTTTTTTTTTTTTTTTTGGGGGGAGGAGAGGGGAGAGGAGGGTGGGTGTGGGTGTGTGTGTGTGGAGGGCACAGATATGAATAGCTTATCAAACAAACCCAGAATAAGTTCAACTTCATCTGTGACAACATAAACCATGGAAACTAGAGTGCGTAGATAAGAACTTACCAGCAAATGGAGAAAGAGTATTCTGCTTGTTGTAGATGTGATGGGTTGCATGAAGATACTTGTATAAAGGTTTTATGTCATGCAACTCTCTATGCATCCAGTAGATCCCAAACTCCACCACCACAAGATAAATAGATAAATATATTACATAGGGAAGCCAACCAACCTCACTTATTGTAGCAAAACATTTTGTCCAGCCATTTTCAACCATGTATTCAGAAAGAGTTGGAAGAGCACAGTACCAAGGCATTGCCTTCATAGCAACATATATTTGCAATAGCATCGCTTTATTTGTAGGGATGGCATCTGCATTAAGGGCATTCAAGACATCGACAAAGGAGCCATCTTAGCTAAAGTAGAAAATTCTCATCAGAAAAAAAAGAAAAGTTGATAATTACAAGTAGGCTTAGAGTTGTTAGGCACTTCATAGCTTGTGATTGTTTTAACCATAGCAGATAAGATGAGAAACAAGTACTAGGGGAACTAAAAAGGGAAGCAAAGACAATGTAAGGATAAATTTTGGTCCAAGTTCAATCAAAATTAAAAAGAAAATAATGGTTAAAGGCTAACAATCATTACATTTCACTGGGAAAATATTTGAATTAAGAGAAATAATATGCACCGATTAAATATTATCAGTTGACTTCTTTTTATAACATAAAGCACTGAGAAATGATCATAATGCATTCTATCCATATATTTTATCAGTGACTGAATTCCAATCACAGATTCAAAACTAAGGATTACTGTTATAAAATCAAACATGCACCCTTTTTGACTTCATCTCACCACAGATTCAAAATGAGAAATGTTACAGCAAGATCAGAAAATGTTCATAAAAAAAAAAAAATCCTTTTGCAAAAGGAGAACCTAAATTCTACACTAAACTAGATTCACATCAAAGTCAAGTCAATCATAAAATTTGCAGCACAGCAAGTAAAATAAATTAAATTAACTAAAAATATTCCAGTTTCACAAATGCGCTCCCAGATTCAAAACAATCCCAACAAACAAAAACTAAAATCAAAGCAAATTTAAGCTCAACTAAACTTAATAAAAAACAATGAAACTTGAAACTAAACAAACAATCAAAAACAAAACAAACCCAGATTCAAAATCAAAATAAAAACAAAAACCCAGTTTTCGTACATCTCTAAACTTATCAAAGAAAAAAATAAGAACCCGTAATTTTAATAAAAAAAAAGTACCTTTGGGAACATAAACATTGCGTTTCAAGTAGTAAATATAGAAGCACCAAAGGAAACCGGAGACGAAGTAAAGCAAAGTCCCAGCACTGTAGTTACGCAGCCAAGTTTGCAAGAAATGCGGGAGTGGTTCCCACAGCTTGGTAGGCAAAAGGTTTCCCAACACAATGCTGTTGTAAAAAGTGGTCTCATCCAGGAACTGCTGCAAATACTCCTCTCCCATTGGTCTGTCACGGTAATGACCCGGCGATGATCAGTCACCGGAGCAACAGATTGAACAGGAATGATATCAAAGAAAAGACAAGACACTCGTATTTCTATATTTTTAGACCAAAAAAAAAAGTTGTTGGTTTTAAGATTTCAATGAGGTTGTGTCAGAGGCAGCGGAATACCAGAAGCCAAACACAGGCTTTGAAGAACGAGGAGAGAATATCTTCAAACCGCTTTATATTTTGATGTTTTTAGTACCGGAATTCATCACGGCCCACGTGACCACTTCGTAATTAATCTACATTCCCAGCACTGCCAAATCGATTAAATACTAAAACATTTTAAAAATAAAATTGAAATATTTTGAATTTCAAATTATTTATAATATATTTTTTAAAATATTAATTTTATATAATATTTTTCAAAAATATATTATCAAAATTAAATTTCTTTAACTAAAAAAATTAAACACTATAATAATATGAGACAGGAAGAATATTTTATATTCGAACTCAACTCAGAAAATATAATTGATTTGTTCAAGCTTGAATAGATTATAACGAATTTAAGTAAACAAGTTTAAGCTTGTTTAGGCTTAGAAGTTAGCAAGCCACGTGTACACAGTGGAGATGCGTTCATGGTGCGTTGGGTCAAATTAGGATTAGGTTGAACTTATAAAGCTTTAATTTTGGCCAGGCTTGAGTTTGGACTCATCCATTTATTTATGGTATTAAAATAATAAATAATAAACATTATTTTTTATATTTTAAATATTGTTAAATTTAAAATTAAAAAATAAATATATTTTATATTAAAACAATAATCTAAACAAATCAGGTGAGATTCATGCCCAAATAATTCTCAAAATAATAATGAAGAATTTAGGAGGTCCACTATGCCAGACATCAGAGGGGACTTTGACACCAATAATTGAAGAAGGCCGGCAAGTGTTTTGGAAGCTCATACAAGTCAGTTTAGTTTCACCCAGACATTTCACTAATAATTGAAGAGGAAAGAATTCAAGAAAAATGTTGTTAGCCTTCCCAGAATTTTGAAAAAGATAAAAAGTTTCTTTTTTTCATGGTAAGATTAGAGGTTTATTAGCAATAAGATTAATAGAAGAACCAATGTGACTAGTGGTCAAACCTGCACTATCTGCAACAGTGTTTTTATCTGGTCCTCTATATTTTGTCCAAGGGAATAAATTGTTCAGGTTTGTAGTGACATGATCTGAGACTCCTGAATCAATAACCCAATTTTGATCTGCATGAGACTGGGTTGCTGTGATAAGATTGGTAATTAGCTCCTAAGTAAACTGATCTATTGAGGTCTGCATGTCTTTGTCGTGTGACATGGTTTCCCACAAAGTTGGCACACTGATTTGAAAGAATTGTGAGAAGCATTTGCAACAAACTTTTTCCTTTAGTAAGTAAAATTATTGTGAGTAGCATTTGATGTAAAGTTGCCTCTGCAATTACCTCTTTTATGAGAGTAGTTACCTTTGATTTTTCTGGTAAAAGTGCATAGTTGATTGTGACAATAGAGACAAAATATGTAGTTTCTTATTTAAGGGCTGTTTCAAAATCTGCCAACTTATCATGAAGCCCCTTATTAGCTGTGGTCCAAGACCATTCAAAATAAAGATAATTAAATCTTTGCAGCTAATGTTGCTTAGCCGATGGCTAGCTCATCAGTATACCTCTTCATAAACTGCAGATAATCTATAGTGGATTTTTTTTTGGGGTGTTGAAAAATGAGTGGTAGTTAATGAAATCCATTATATGGATATTAAAGTAGTAGTTTTATTTTATATATGAATATAAGTTGGAAATACATTATGTGACCATTGAAGTAATTGGTGTTTTATAACCATTAATAATGTAATAAGACTTATTTTTAAATAGAAAATAAATGAGAAAAAAGGTGTACATGAAAATATATAAGAAAACAAGGTAAAAAAGAAAAAGTATATGTAAAAAGGTGTAAAAGAATAAGATAAAGAAGGAAAATGAAAAATGTAAAGGCGAAAAGGTTCAAGAGAATAAGATAAGTGAGAAAAGGTGAGAGAGAGAAACATATGTATTTGAGAAAAAAGTTAAAAAGAAAGATCTCTTAACTACCTTAATATCTAAACACCAAATTAAAATTTTCAAAACATCTTAAGTTAAAAATAACTTATAAACCCTTACACTCGTTCTAGATTACTCTTATTACTATCTGTATAGTTTCACTTGTTCTAGTTGTACCGTGTGAAGTAGTTGTTTTCCATAATAATAATTTCACTTGTTCTAATTGTTCTCATTATCCTTTGCATAACTTTAGACTTGTTGCAAAACAATTCTCAAATAAATATTAAGTTAGTAACCGAAATCAATTGCCTACATGTTATGATCTTCCTATTCAAAAGAATAGGGACCAAATCCCTTTTTTCTCCAAATCAAAAAATAAATAAAAAAATTATAATCAATCATTAAGTTAAATTCACCAATTAAAGTAAAAGAAATTTAAATAGTTGCATATAACTATACATATCATGTCTACCAAAAGTGTTTTGAAATACAATTGGATTTCTTAAAATGTTAATTAAAGAATTATACTCCATACATAGAAGTAGAGTATATATACATATATTTATAGGTTTATAAAATTGACATGTATCTATTTAAATAATTATGTTAACGTATAATCCCATTACTCAAGATAAAAAGATATGCATCGCTTAGAAAAACAACTTTTTGGACTTTTCAAATAATCAAATAGAAATTCTTTTGATTATATCAACATTGGAAAATTTTCCTATACACAATTGTGAAATGTCTACCCACAAGTGAGTTTAGATAATTGACAATCATAATTAAAGAAATGTTGTGTTACTACGCTACAGTTCATAAACAAGGAATTGAGAAAAAGTGAAAGCGAGAAAGAGATCAGGACAGGGGATATCACGCTGGTGGTAGGTTTGATGGAAGGTATAGAAGATATAACGACAGGGAAAGACAGTTTGGCCTTCTCTGGGAAGAAAGAGTTCAAAGAAAACAAGAGATGGAAAGATGGAGAAGTTGACTATTCTCAATCTTTGTAGGGAACCTCAAGCACAACACTACATGGAAGGATATCAAAGAATGTTTTGCTTGGGAACCTCAGGCACAACACTACATGGAAGTTGAATATTCTCAATCATCATGGACATTTACCTCCCCAAGGCAAACAATAGGAATGGGGCAAGTTTTGCTTTTGTGAGATATAGACATGAATGAGAACTCTAGAGAGCCATAAATGCTGGACAAAACATCATCATAGAAGGAGAAGCATTACTGTTAAGAGAGTTGATAGAAGGAAGAGGGGACCACTGTTGAAGGGATAAGAGATTCACAGAGAGCATATCGAGAGGTATTAGTGACGACGAAATGACCACGTACTAAAGATGACACCTTGGAAGAAAAAAGCAAACAGAAAGAGGAAAAAAATTGAAGTAGTGAACCAAGTAAGCTGTCGAAGTGCAGCGTTGAGATTAGCGACAAAGAAAATGAATGGCTAAAGTGTTCTACTATTGGACAACCTAGAGATGGCCTTAGCCATACTGCAATCCAAAGATCTCTTCAACTAGAAAGAGCTTGGGTCTAGGTTAGATCGATGGAAGGGGGATTTTTGGTGGTCTCATTCACAAATGTTGAGGAGATGGAGTGTTTCTTGGGGATATACAAAGAAATTTTTGAGGTTCAGTTCTAGGAAATCAAACCATTTCATGAGTGGAAAGACAAGAGAAAATTCCTGACATGGGTTCGACTTGAAGAAGTCCCACTCCACCTTTGGCAAATGAAAATTTTTGAAAAAAATTAGGAATTGATGGGGGTGATTTATTAGGACAAATAATGCTACAAAGAAGAAATTTAGACTTGATGTTGATGTTATCCTAATGGAAGTGTCTAGTAAGCTCAAGATTACCCCAATCAACTAGGTTATAGTGAGAGGGGAGAGGTTCCTAATCCGTGCTACTATGACCGAGACTGTAGGATATGGGGGAGATGGGAATCAAATGCTGAATGACTTAAGGATGGAAGAATCACCGAATTCATCATCGACAAAGGGTGGTGGTGACGTTGTGGAATATGACCACCCTAGCGACTGGAGTGAGCCATGGGAAGGCTAGGCAACACGAGAGTGGTATGGTTTGATAGGTGACATTGGGCAGAATAATAAAACTAGCCCATACTGCCAACTAGAGTGGAGGAGCATTATAGACAAGGAAATTAAGGCATGTAAACAAAGCAGTTCACATGGACAAGCGGGGGTTCAAAATTTAAAATAAAGCTATAAAGGGGGATAAAAGAGGTAAGAAACATAAAAATTTTAAGATAGGGGAAGAAAGTTGGTATGGGCCATGTCGATTAGACCAAGTGAATGAGATTGAGAAAAGAAGGATGATTAGGAAAATAAGGGCCAACGATGAGGAGGGGTCCAGTCTTAATGGTAGAGAGCCTAATCTTAAAAGGGTAGAAAGTTCAAATGGAGGCAGTGGGATGGGACCACAACTATACATGGACAGTTAATTAAGCGATACAATATCGAGAGATTATCTAAAGGATAAAAATATGAGAAGTCTAAAAATAGGTAAAGAGAAAGGCTTAGACACTGAGCCTAATGATGAGATGTCTAGTAATAAGGATAGAAGAAGAGAAGAGGAAAAAAAACGTAGTTGTGCATAAACGGAACAAGTGTGATAAAGTTAGATTTTAACAAGATATCAAGTCACCAGGTGGTGACAGTTCAAGAAAGAGATGCTGAAAGAAAGAAGCAAAGGGATTTGAAAGGGTAATAAGAAAAGATATTGAGGAAATGCATGAAAAATGGGCTTTAGATGGATACAATAGGGATGATGAAATCAGAGAAGTGGGTTTGGATCATGGCTACAAGATGACAAAATTGATGAATGAAAAAGACAATAGGATAAGAGAGGATAGTAATAGAGATACAAATAGCTTTTCAGGGGTATAGAGAAAAAGAATCAAGAGAAAAATTAGGGAAATGCTTGAAGAAGAAGTGACTACTACTCAAAACACAATTGGGTTGGCAGAGTCAGATTACGATAATCTAAAGAGAAATATATGTTTTAGTAAAAGGCGGAGATCACATGGATCTTGAGTAGAAATTTAGGAGTGAAATTTAGTGTAGACAGAGAAACTATGGTGGGAATATTTTACAATATAGAGGTAAGGGATGGTTGTGGGGATGGTGTTGAAAGGGGTCAAAGAGTATGAAGAATAGAGGTAAGTATGTAGGATATCTGTGTGAGGATTTAGTATCGATGATTCTATTGACTTGG